GACCGTCTCCACATACTCCGTGGTCCCACTTACCCTGGTGTGCCTTGTAGGACTGTCTTGGGGATTTTTGGCTCTTTCAGTCTTCTAAAGCTGGAAAAATGTTGTATTTCCTCAACTCTCCAATGTTTTGGTGATACACAGCAAAAAATTCTGGATTATAATTGTGATGTAAACATTCATTCACGTAAACTTATATCTCATTTCACGCAAACGAGCAACTTGTAAGCAATGCTGTTTACAAATATGGGCTTTTGTATGCAATATTTGCAACATTTCATGAAATGTCTCTAATCTTTACACGATTTATAATCTAAACTAAGATTATATGTGACGCTCCTTTTATGTGCATCATATTGAACAGAAATTTACACTACTTTTTCGAACTGTGTATATTTCAACATCTTCAAGGATTTAGAAGCTACGTTTTTGCTGCTTTAGAAGACTGAAAGAGCCAAAAATCTCCCAGACAGTCGCGAGCTTTCAAATACTTATCAACTATGCTATCGATATTTTGATTCAAAATCTGTATCGATACAAATACCTCTATTTTGCAATATAGGAACGATTCTAGTTTAACATGATTCTCAGCCAATTTGAAACTTTGCATGATTACTTTCAAACGTTTCTAGGAACTCAATGCAGATGGAATACATCGATTTAAATGATTCAAAAAACATTTAACTTGAGGAATCATTATTTTTAACATTTAACATATAATTTATTTCCCTAATTTAACGCAGGAAAAATACTCCTTGAAGCTTTCTGAACACGTTGCAATGTCTCAAAGGAAAAAAAATTGCTATCGCACTAGTTTTCTCTTAAAATTGACGAATTGAAAAAACCTGAGGATGGACAAATATTGGAAACCCCGATGTCAAAAACAACACAACACCACACTAAAAAAATATATGAATTGACTCCCAAGTAACAATTAAGGTTTTATAAGGGTTCTGTAGACCATGATTTAGACTTGTAGCATGCTTTAAAACCTCCATAAAACTCTAACTCATACACGCCCGTCGAAAGTAACTTAGGTACTGAGTCAACTTAACTCAGTCTCTGAGTAACTTTCTGAGTAACACGTCCGTCGTATGATGTTGCAGACAGCTGTCAAAAAATTTCAATCATTTTCATCCGACTACACAGGATGAAATATCCAAAAAATAGTGGGGCGGTCACAATACCGTTTGGTAAATTCCTATTAACTTTTAAGACGTTAATGTTATTTATTTGTCAGTGTAGACCGTTTTACAATAGTTGTCTAAAGTGCTGTTTTACAATTTACTAAGTTTAAAAAATATATATTATAATATGCTATAAAAAAAATAATGTAATTGCATGGCTGACCTCGAAAAGAAAATCTTTTTCAGTTTTCTTTTACTCATTGTTGAATCAACTCATTCGCAATACACATCATTCTAATTAATGGTCAATTTTTTGGATAGTTTATTTAGTTGTTTGTTAACAAAGAATAAGTTTCCATTCCTTAGTGAGTGAGTGAGAACATAAAAATTAATATTTTCCAAAACCTCTGGACTGTTTCTTTTTACAAAATAACATCGTTTAAGAATGCTTTCATTGCGAACTCTCTTCGCTTTTTGACCTCATCTAAATTTATTAACATACATCGTGACTCATAAGATGGGAGCGGAAAACTCGTCCAACATTACTTTCTTTTTTGAACATACTCAATACGGTTAACATGTGTATCATGATATGGAGCCCAAACTACACTACAGTACTCAAGAAGAGGCCTCACATACGCTACGTACTTTAATTGTGTAAGGATCATTAAAGTGCATACTACATCGTTTGATAAACCCGAGCATGTTATTTGCTTTATTGATAATGCTATTGTAGTGAGAAGCAAATGACAACTTAGAACCGAGAACAACACGTAAGTCTCTAACTTGATAACATATTTGAACTGGTTTCTGGCCTAAAATAATTGTGTCATGAAAAATAGCAATAGTGAACAATATAGAATTGCATTTTTTTTACATTAAATTCTAACAAATTTCGGCGATCTGAGGACAATAAGCCAAAAACATTACTACGTTTTGTGAATGGCCCATCAACATTTATCAATTATTCAAGATAAAACATGGAAATTGTATAAAAATGATTGAAGGGGAAATTATACTTTGCCCTTCCCTAAAATTATTGAGGGGGTAAAAAGTGACATGCCCCCACCCCCTTGATGGCCATAGCCAGCATCATCCATGTAAGCTCTGAAAATAAATGAAAACCTCCATTATTCCATACAACATGATGAAAATTTCAAATCTGTTGGAGCTCAGACAACTGAGAATTTATTTTGGACTACGAATGATGGCCGACATGATAGGGAAATTCAAATAAAAAACAACGTAAAATATTAACATCGAATAAAGAAGCAGCCATGGAAAAAGGGGATGACTAAACTTATGCAAATTTTAAATCTTCGCTCCACAGTGCTCAAACGGTTGCAAATTTAGACAGGATCAGCATTCCAAAATTTTAAATTAATTAAGTAAGAAACTGACTCGGTACAAACCATTTGAAGTTTAAATGGAAATTACTATGGGAAATCCAAATTTTGTGTTCATATCTATCCAAAATTTAACCATATCAATTTGCTTTAAAAACTGATAACTGTGCTTGTAGAAAAATTTTCAGCTACAACACGATATTTCATTTAAATTTAATTACAATATCGAATAAATCATAAATGTTGTAGACTAGCTTGTAAAAATATTCGTTGCTTACCTCAAAAATAGTTTAAAATTAAACAAGGGGAGATTTATCGCAACAATTATTGTTCCGAATTTATTTCTGAGTGAGAGATCGTATGGTTCTCTGCATATATCCCATGTAAGTATCCAACTAACTATACTTCCCATCCCCACTTGCTGCAAGGTCGTGGTCACGACAGTTCTCAATCGTTTGAGGTTATATAACTTCCATCTAAGAGGCATTGATTAATTCCAAATTGCTGCATATAAGGTAACAATTTTTAATGTGGATTCAACCGATGTAAAAAAAAATACTAAAAACACCCTCGCGGAAGATTATAAAGATTGAACACGAAAAAATCCGGACACTAAAATATTGTTGGGGTTTAAAAATGCGTTTTATTTTTCATAGTTCAATGTAACAGCTATACATTAATAGGTATTATGCTTATTGTAAGACCATTGTTTCAGTCTTCCTTCTTAACATAGGCCATTGCTCAAACTTATTTCGTACACGGCCCATCATCTTTTGCACGAGCACTGTTCCCACTTGTTTGGCTGCCAAATTCCATTACCGCTTTAAATCCTTCAGGTCAATTGCAGTTCCACCCTTCTCAGTATGTGCTTCGCAATTGACCAGTATTCCTCAATTGGACTTAGTTCCGGAGTATTGGCCGGATTTATCTCCTTGAGTTGGAGGCGAACCAGCCTCAAGCTGAAAGCCTCCTAAATAAAGATAAATCAAGCAATCAATCATCTCCTTGGGAACCACTGTGACGCCATTTTTGCTGTACCACTGTTGGATAGAATTAGAGTAGTGGCAGCTTGCCAAGTCCGGCCAGAATAGGCAATCCACCTCATGCTGCTCCAGAAAAGGCTAGTCTCTTCTATAGGCACTCCTCCTGGTAAATTTGCTGGTTCATAATCTCAGAATTAACGAAAGTTTCGCTTTTCAGCTAACAATTGCAGATTGCGTTCCAGGCAAGAAAGTTTTTGGGTAACTTCGACTTCTTTATGATTTGACATTCTTCCGGGGCACTCTTCCGGTCAACCGCGGTATAACATTCCTGCCCAGGAATTTGATCGAAAACTGCCAGGAGCGTAGAGACCGGGACTTTCGTTTCGAGCGTACAGGATCGAATCGCGACGTACTTGCTGAAGCCATGATGTAAACAAATGAACTCATCCTGACGACCTACTGTGATATACACTCTTTCTTTTACAGAATTTGCAAAAAATGCTTTAAAGGCAGCGTTGTTAATGTGTCCGGATTTTTTCGTGTCCAACCTTTAGTCGCAAAATAGTCCATCTTTCTAGTTCCCTAGAGTTCCAGTTGACTTTTACAATCTGAGCATTCAGAACTGTCCCCTTAATTGATTCTCTCTTGTCTTCCTTGCTCAAAACACGAAAATAAACACATTTTACGATTGAATTTCTACCTGTTTGCGTGCTACATCTTTGAGAATATGTTAGAAATCTGAACGAATGGGAGAAGTGGTTGCCTTCCATGGAACCACACTTCTTGTTACATGTTGGTGATGGAACATAAAAAGGAACATAACTCAAATGATGTGTGATTAACTGCCAAAGGTAATTTTAGTGGGAAAGGAAACGTAGGATGGGGGATTTCATGAACATGAAAGGGCAGCACTGTACTCAGCGCGAGGCGAGGTTGGCTCTTGCTATCCACAATTTGCAAAGAGGACGGTAATATTACATCTACGTATTTCTCAAATGAAAATGTCATTAATCATTTGCTTGGTACATTTAAGCTCTTAACCACAAAGCCTTGTTTAGATGATTGAATTCGACGTTCAACTCTATAGAGCTGCGAATGGAGCGTCTTGAAAATTGGTCAACGTCGAGTTTTTCAAATCGCTTTCGAGTTACTTGAATGTCAACCACCAGATCGAGGGAGAGATGAATCAACTCACCTGAACTGTTGCTTTTTTTGATCCGTCAAATGGGCTTTAAAAAGGATAAATTGGACATAATGGCTAATGGACAAATGAAAATGGTCTATAATTGGTGGTGACCCATAATACTGGGGTGACTGTATCGTTCGCTTGGTTTGTACGATTCATAAGAGAGCATCACGAGAGAAATCGTCATTTATGAATCGATCTTTGAAAATTTAATCTGAAAATTGTTTCAGTTAAAAATTGCAAATGTGATGCTTCTGGATGGAATATTTTGAATATCGTGATATAACTACTTCTCTAATTATAAGTTCGAAATATACTTTTCCCCATTAATGTTTCTTCAACGTTCTATTTCTCTTTACAGAGTCTGCATGAATATGTAGAATAATCATTACATTGTAGCCACATACATGGCCGACAAACCGAGGTGATTCCTTGGTCTTAGAGGTTCGACAGCAAAGGAGCTTATCCTTCACTAGTTTTTAAGCTCGCATAAATCAGTCGAGGGGGCTGAAACAATTCTGATAGAAATACAGATCAATGACAATTCATCACAACGATATCGAGTGAACATCATTTAAAACATTATTCAGGTGCATATTTCGACGGTGTGACATTTAGGAACCGTTATTCTACTACATTGCCATCGTTGAAGAAGCACGCACCAAACGGAATGAAAATTAAAGTGTAAGTGTAATTTCCCTCTGGTGTAATTGTGAAATTTATACTCGTCTGTTTGGGTGTCACCGAGAAGCATGAAAAGCTTTCATTGTTGAGTTTAGTGCCGAAGAATCCGCTGTTGCGTTGGTAACGCCATATCGAAACGATCGGGCTATAAAGGAGACAAACGAGAAGAAATCATAATTAAGAAGAAGGTGGATGATTTGAAGCACAGCCGACGTTTGTTGCTCGTGTCAATGAGAGCGTTTATGCGATGGATGTAGCAGCTGGCAAGATCTTCATTCCACCCACCACTGACGGGTGACAACGGTGTGCACATTAACAAAACGGAGTAAAACGAGGTGAACACGTGCTGGGTTTCGCAATTAATTTTCGTCAAACGGGATTCGACTCGTTGCTAATGCAGTGTAAGATCGGGCACGTTGTTGCTTGTGTGTGCGTGCCGTTGAAAACGCTGGAAGAAAAGTACGAGTGAATTTAATCAACCATAAAAACTCATCGGTGCTCATTTTCTGGTTAAACGACCCGCGAATGTGCAAAAGTTTGGTTGAATGATTAAACAGCTTGTGGAAAAGTTCTCTCGATTGTAAAATTCATCGAAGTTGTGATTACGTTTAAGTGGAAACCGTTAATTCTGGTTGGTGGGGCATCCGCTCCTCGAAAACGGATATTGTCTGTTCGATTTCTGAGTGGAAAAAGTACAAGGAGGTGCCTCCCGCCGGTTATAAATGCTCAGCCCTAAAATGCAGCGATCCGTTCGTGTCAACGAGCATCAGCTGATTATGCTGTCCGATCGGGCGCAGTATGATCACTCGATGGTAAGTGTAGCAGTGTTTTGTATTCTAATAAATCCACATAAGCAAAACAGGGTTCGAATGGATTGGATTTGGCTCAACAATTGTTCCTAGTTCCATTTAGATCTACAATGCCAGTTCCATCGGTTCTAATACACCCCCTATACAACCTCTCAATATTTGAAATTATTAAGTTGCTATCTGACACATCACTGACCATTTAAGGTTTACATGAGAATTATGCAAAATGTAAACTGTCTGTTCTGACAAGCTTTCAACAATGCTAACAAGAAGAGGTTGTAAAGTATGTGTTTGACTCATAAAACCTGTCAGTATCTGAGCCAGTTTTACGTTACGTTAATGCTAGACTGAAACGTTTCCTTAGAGGCAGGCCCTAAGCCTGACCTTCTACTATCAAATGTGATGAACTAGCCTACGGCTAAAAATCACAAAAATAAAAAAAAAAAAAAACTTGTCAATTTCGCTTTTAGAGCGCCACACTCAGCGGTGTTATGATTCGTGAGCACTCATGAATTGTAAAATCGCTTATTGTGGCGCTCTGAAAGCAATATTGACAGGTTTTATATCCTGATGAATGTGGGCGTCTTGGTTTATATGTCAAACACATACTTTACAACCTTTTTTTAATTTATTAGTACTAATGCTCATTATAACATCTAATGATTTCATAATTCCGAAAAACATTTTTTTACAGAAAGTATATTGAATCAATCCTGCTTAGATGTTTTATAGAAATTTATTGTAATGCAAGGTAGGAAAGCCTATCGAGTCCACCAATTATTTTGTGGCGCAAAAACCCCATATTTTTTCACAAAAGAGGCACTTCGTTACACTTAATACGCTGAATACAAAGAACACAAAATATTAAACTTAAGTCTTTAATAGGGTGTATCATTTTGAAAAAAAGAGATGAATTTTTGATAGGCCACCCTCTAGTTCGTTCCATTACCCCAAAATATGAATCGGTGCAAAAAATGGCAAAGATTGATCAAGGTTTAGACGTCGCACAAATGATTTGAAGTTTGTATGGGAATTACTATGGAAGAATTTCTAAAATCACTTTGCTTCTACATTTCCAAATTCTGAAAAAAATTAAATGACGAATTTCACGCTAACTCGATAAAGGAATCGGCAGCCCCCTCTCAAATTTCAATGAAACTTTGTGGGTGTGTAGATTTCGTCTACTTAAGCAACTTTGCACACATATTTTCTTTAAAAAATGCTAGACCAACTTTTAAAAAGTGCAGAACTATTTTGATTACAATTTCCTCGAAAAATTATAATTCAATAATGTCAAGTCCCATTTATAAATTAAGATTTCTCAATAAGGCATTTTTTTTAATCGGATTTTGTTTTTCTACAGATCATTTATCTATAACTCGCTCATATATCTCAAGATGGGTACTTTTAAACGTTATTTAACAAAACTGTGTCGTGTTCGCACTGAATAAAATCAATGATTTTTTTTAGTGTAAACATGAGAAATATTGAAATGTTGAGACTCATGTGAAACCTACCACTAAACTGGATTGCACTCAACAAGCTTCAAATGAAAGGTACACCAAAACAGATAAGGAAGACGTTTTCAATCCTCATGGGAATGATATTATTTTTGATATAATTTAATTTTAATATAATGTTTAATTGACAGAGTATCAAAAAATGGTGATCCTATTTCATATTTTTTTTATCTTATTTAAAGAAAAACTTTTACATATTATTTCTCGGCATTGTCAAACAAAGTATTTTTTTAAAGTTCCGTTGAATTAGAAGATTTTTTAGCTACAATTTGATTTTTGGCAACAGGCTTAAAACCAGATATCGTCTTAGCGTGGTGAAACAAATCTTCTAGTTCTTCTGACAATTTTTTCGTATTGCTCAGTAGATAGATAACAGAAATTCAATTTTGTGATGCTTTTCTCTGTTTGTTTAACTGGCCAGCTGTAGAGCTCTCGTGAGGTTGTAATAGTATTTCCTAGGGGGCAAGAGAAACTCTTTTGCCATTCGTTTTAAAGTTCCACCAGTAGCATCACAGGGACCTTTGCCATGAGATATTGCAAAGAAATGCCATTTTGATTCCAATTTGTGCATTGATTTGAACTTACATAGACTGACAAATTTTTTTTCTGTTTTTATAATGAGCAGCTGCTCCATCTGACATAAATGTAATTTTGGAGAATATTATTGATAGTTTCAAGAATTCCATCAGTTTTGAAATGAACAATTGAACTGCTATTTACATGACATGTTTGTTTACGTGTCATCCTTTATGTCAAAGATGGATTCCGTCACTTGTAAGATTAGGTATTTCTAGATGTGTACAGATAAGCTTGTGGTCGTACCTACATCGTACCTACATCGTACCTGTTTTGTGCCTAGATCCTAAACGCGAAACAATATATATTTTAGAGGTACATTTCGTAACATTGAAACTGGGTTTCTCACTCGTTGAAAATATCTTGTTTGCGATTTATGTGATTTGATATATCGACACCCATATTTACCATAACATGTTCCGTCCATATCTCCGAAGCTATTTGACCCTTCATTAATATTCAAAAATTTATAAAAGATCATTTTATTTTTCATTTGGATTTGAACACAATCCTGTTTAGTGGTAGACGTGAAACACGTCTTTCAAAATTTTGAAATTTCTCTTTCCCTCCCTGAAAAAAAATCATAGTGCGAACACGAAAAAGTTTTTGTTGAATAATTTGTTTTTCTTTAAAAGTGTTCAAGTTGTAGATAAATGATATTTCTATCTGTAGAAAAAGTTTCAGATTTTTAGAATATGGCGATTTTGAGAAATCTCAATCAGTGTTAAAAATACTTAATTTTTATGTTTTCTTATGGAAGTGCATTTATTTATCTACAAATCATCGGTTAGCAACATTATTGTAGGACTTATAATTATTGAGATATAATTATTTTGAAGAAAATGATGAAAAGAAAGTTCTGCCCTTTTCATATGTTGGTCTAGATATTTTTTTAAGAAAATAAGTATGCAAAGTTGCTTAAGTAGACGAAATCTATACACGCACAAAGTTTCATTGAAATCTGAGAGGGTGCTGTGGATTAATCATCAAACCGTCTACATAAAAAGCAGTGGTTGAACAAACTTTACCCCTAAAATCAATGTTTGAGAAGCTATTATAAAAGCGCACAAAAACGGCAGAAAGCAACACTTTGTAATGTAAGTGGAAATCAAAAAATCATCATACTAGTACACACCGTAGTCTCTATACAAACTTCCTTAACCTTCATCATTCTTTATCATTTTTTGTTCATATTTTGGGGTTTTGAATCGATTTTTTTTTTCAAAATGATGCACCCTAGTCTATAACCTGCAATAATTCAACGTTACAATCTTACAGTCAGAAAATGTGTCATCAGTTTGGTAGTCTGCTAGGAATCAGTCCAAAATGGTTACCACTGTGTGTGAGGCAATGTTGAATAATTCCAGCAGAAGCATTGAATTCAAACTGGCCAATGGCATATTTAAACCGGGAAAACTGGTCCTGGTTTGGTCGCGATGACCATAACAACTATAACTGGTAGCTACGTTGCTACGTTGTCTCAAAGGGTGTTCTGACCCGATTATGTTGGTTCGACTAGAATACGTGGGGCGTCGATTCAAATCATTCCCATTCTCATTTACTGCGGTCGAATCAGATTGATGATTGATTATAGTTGATTAAACACCATTCAATAAGCTAGCTACAAGTAGCATTTCTAATACTACTTGTGGTTCTGTGCCATGCTGCAATCTTTTTATTTTCCTGGCTGTATAGGCCCCTTTCTATATTTCGAGGACATTTTACCAGCGTTGACTACACAAGCCGTTCAACACAGTAACACATTCAGTGTCCCATAAGCACACTCTTTATGTTGGTACGAGTTGAATCGCCAACGGCAGTGTTGAAAGCTGGCAAATTGAGATGTGCTTACACCGTAAATACCTCCCAGTCACGTCCGAAGGGATGTGACAAACGAGAAGGCAAATGTGTTCTATGTTGCGGTTGTGTATCGGCTTGCAGCAGTATGTTACGGTCGGTTGAAAAACGGACCATTATGATTTTTATGCGCTGTTTTGTGGGTACGTGTGAAACCGTCTCGAGGGTTGCTGCTCTATTCTATCCGGCATATTTTCGATTCAGATGGTTGAATTCATATGATTATGGATGGCAGACTTTAATCTAGGGCTGAAAAACTTGCTTCAAAACATTTGGGGTTTGGGTTTGTGGGTCGTTGGGATCCTTTTCTGCGCAACGGTTCTCTTATTTTTCAACGTTCAAGCATTCACAGAACTCACTGTATGGTTTTGTTGGATTTTAATCTTCTACAATTCTTGGGGTCCCAAACTGAAAATTAAGTTGACACTTTTTTTTTAATAATGTGTCTTGGATTTATTTATCCGTTTTCAAATGTGTTATACCAATAGAAAGGATACTTCCTCAACGTTTCATCTTATACTTTTAAATAGAATCTTCCGGAGGTCAGTACGGTAATGTACTGAATGCCGTACGGTTTGTTAAGGGAAAAATAAAAATTATTTGTCAGCTTTTCGGATGAATTTTTGAACTTTTCGCTGAATATCACCCATCACCCTTCCACCACTTCTCCAAATCAGATGTTGTTTTGATTGTTTTGCCACATTCCTTCAATTTACGCTTGATAACAGCGCAAAATTTTTCCATTGGACGAAAATCTGGACAATTTGGTGGATGCGTTTATCAACAAAAGACATTATTTGCTCATACCAATCAGTGGAATCTCTGCTGAAATGGCAGCTGACTTTGTCGGGCCAGAACTTTACGGGACATTCCTGTGACTGAATGAATGGCAAAATTCTCTTCTGGACATTCCTCCTTTTAAAGTTGTCCTTTCGTAGGCGCTTCTTTGTTTTCTTTACATAACTGCATATGCCTTGCCAAATCATCAACTTGCGAGAGAATTTATCTGCAAGGACAAATTTGAACTTACCCTGAGCATTCCCATTACGT